ACACCTCTGATAAACAATGTAGAGCGAATAGCCATGCATATTAACAAAACACACACAATCAAACATAAATGAAGAAAAAAAAAGTCAACAGCATGGCTGACAAGCCAAATCCTATTAAATTGTCAGATTGCTGTGATTTACTGAAAACATGGTTCTCCTTTCAGCTGTTAGATGCGCTTACGATGCTTCAAGAGATGTAATCTATTTGATTTACTTCACCATCCAGCTTTAATTTAATGTTGGATCATTCAAACTAAGAATCATAAATACTGCATATATCCTTGCAACCCTTGAAATGTATCTGTAAGAGTATAACATGAATAGTTCAGACATTTCAGAAGTCACTGGGCTTTTATTTTAGCGTATTTGGTTTATGTTGATGAATTATTTTATCTACATACGTACGTAGAGTACACATTTCTCCACATTTATTTTGTAGATTCTCCACTTCATCAGTAAATTTGACTTTTAAATTGATCTAATATTGGCAGTAACTGTGGCATATTTTACTCTGTAGTCGTTTTGTTTACTGACGTAAATTGGATGACTTCTATTTAAATTACAACGCTATATTCATCTCAGTATTTGTTCTGTCTTTAATTAGGTCTTTCCTGGCGATTTTTATTCCATGTTCCCTTAATAGGTCGGTGTCTTTAGAAAAGAAGATCACCCCTAAAGTTTGAGGGTAGACTAAGTTTAATATAAAAAATATGGACAACTTCATTTCCCATTCTCTCACATAACTTGTTTATCCTCCAAATATTGAATTAACTCCATTTCAACCTAAGTCTTGCTTTGCACACAGTTAAAAATATGCAAAAGCATTGAAATGAAAAACTGCTCTTTTTAATGATGTCAGACTTTAAGTGTCATGCAATGATTCATGCATCACTTGACAAAACAAAATAGAAATTATATCCATCTGCTTAAATGAAAAACTGGTGTAAATACAACTATTGTGATTTATCCAGCAGGAAACTAAACACATCATCCACCTTTTAATAAACTCGCAGAGCGAAAAGCTATGGCGCGTTAACACAACACTCATAATCAAACATTAATGAAGATTTTTTTTTTTTTTTATCTCTGACAGGCCAAATCCTATTAAATAGTGGTGATGCTGTGACTTAGTGGAAGCAGGTTTTTCTGTTCAGCTGTTCCAAGTGTTTACAAAGCTTCTGTTTTTATCTGTTTATGGCATACAGCTGATTTCACTCCTGTGGCCAATTTTTTCATGAGTCATAATTAGATCCAAACATACAGGCTTCCAGTGACGTGCAGGTCGACTCAGAGACGAGAGCTTTGTAAACGCCATGGAGGTTAAATATTAAGAGCGTCGCAGCCCTTATCTGCGTCGCTCTCACTTCAGCTCTGTGCCGCGTTGTCGACGTGTCTGTTTATTTATACAGCAGCTCAGTCCCAACACGTCTGTTTGCTGATTACAGCTACAACTCTGCATATTTCATGCGGGGGTCTTTTTCTTTAATTTCATCCGTCCAAGTGAGCCAGCTGGAGAAACTAGAGCTAATTACTGCATTGTCAAGGAGATCTAAGATCCAACTGCATGGATAAATTAAATCTACAGAAAAGTAAATGAAACAGAATTAAAGAGAGAACAGAAGTATTTCTGACTGGGAGTTTTTATTTGAGTTATGGGGTCAACAACAGATGGTCCATTTGATTTTGGACCTTAAGCAGCTTTTTAAGGCCAACAGCCAAACCTAAAGCAGAGGATGAAGAGCCAGTGGGGTTTTTATTTCAGATAGAGCTGACAGTTAAAGCAATTAGATAGGAGATAATTTCACCATTTTATTGTATACAAAACAAAAATAATATAATTGAAATTCATTGATCTTACATTGGAGAAATTTACCTCGGCATTTAACCATCCTGTTTGGGAGCAGTGGGCTGCCATCGTGCGGTGCTCAGGGAGCAGCGTGGGGTTAAGGGTCTTTGCAGAGGGACCCAGAGTGTCAGTCTGTGGGAGTGGAGCTCTAACTCAGAACCTCAGGATTTTAAGCTTAATGCTCTAAACTCTAGGCCCCCACTCCCCCACTAAAATATATCAACATATCCATTTTAATAAGGAAAACAAATCAAAAGTTATAACATTTTCTTACTCTCCAATCTGCCTCAGTAAATTTGTTATTATTCTACACTTATCAACGTTTTTTATGTCAGACAACCAAATCATAAGTTAAGGCCTTAGTCACTGTTTGATGATATAACATTTTCAAAAACTGCTTCTCTGGGTCTTAGTCATCATAAAAGGTGTTCCCCAGGGTTTAGAATTAGGCCCAGTTCAATTCTGAATATTGTCCGTGTCACAGTCTTGGTTTTGTTATGTTTATTTTGAGTGTTCAGCTTTACTTTGCTTCTTGTTTTAGTGTTTAATTATTATTTTCTTGTTAGTTCCTGTCTTCCTGGTTTTCCATTTGTTGTCCTCTGCTGCCCTCTTGTGTCCTCTTTCCTTAGCTCTATTTTCTGCTCTGTCCTCACCTGTTTTCAATCCTCTCGTTAGCCCTCTCTTTGTCTCTGTCCCCTTTAAAAGCCCTCCCTCTTCAGTTCCTGTTGGCTGGATACTCGTCAAACGTCTGTCTGCTTTCCTCGTCTCTCCCTGGCTCCTAGAGTTTGGTTTCCCCTGATGTCTCCTTGGTTCTGGTTCATTGTTATTTTTGTTGGATCTTTGATTCCTGCCTCCGTACCTGTAAACCTCATTAAACCCACCAAAATTCACCTCTGCCTACTTGCCTCTGCTTTTGGGTCCTCAATCCAACACCAAATCCTGACAGTCCGTCTCTAACGGCAAACACTAAATTTTAAACTCAAGCTCAAACCCGCTTTTATTTAATAAAATATGGTTGTTTTGTCATTAAAGCTGGAGAAAAAAAAAAGAACTTTTTATGTAAATTATAACACGACAATGCTGCTTGTCAAACCGTCTAAAACAAGGAAATGATTTATAAATGAGTATTAAGTTGTATAAGTGTTATCATTTATTCATACTACTTTGGGATTTTATATTTAAAACTCAGGACAGGGTTTCCTAAACGTTTCAGCCTGTGAAGGCCCCCTTAAAAACACACAAAATAAAATGTTAGGCAATTAATATCATTTTTAAATTAACACTGTCTAACTTCTAGCCACTAGGGGCGCTAGAACTACAGTGCCGCTTTCAATAAATGTATTTTTTGAAATTGGCATTAATTATTTAATTCATCATTTTAATTGTATTTATTTACAATTTAATAAGGCCTTGAATGGCTAATTTTAAAATGTGTTGATATATTTAATATTATAATTGTGCATTAGATAAATAAATAAATAAATAAATAAATAAATAAATAAATAAATAAATAAATAAATAATATTATAAAAATTAAATGTTTTACAAGAAATATTGGACCTTCACATGTTATATTTTGTGACCCTGTATACCTCAGGGATTGTATCACAATGAGTGTGAAAACCATTTCATGACCCCCAGTTGTTGTCTCACGGCCCACCTGGGGGTCCGAAGCCTCACTGTGGGAACCATTGACTTGCTGTAGACTTTATCTTAAATGTATAAAATAAGAGATAATTATATTTCCTTCACCTATCAGCTTTGATTTCACAAAAGATATTTTGAATTAATAAGCCCTAATGCTCCTGGAAAAATAATTTCTCTCTTCAAGAACATTGCAGTAAAAAGATTATTGGGCTTTCTTTTCATATAATTGATTTGTGTAATTACATTTTTTCTTCTAAATGAACATGTTTGTTCATATCTGACTCTACAAAATTAGACTTTTAAGCGGACAATAGTAGCATAGAAGTAATATATTCTGAAGTTGAATAACTTACTTAAATGTAAAAGCTAAATGTTTCTTAGTATTTTGTTTTATGTTTAATTTGGCCTTTTTCTCCTCATGTCTGATGGTTTTATTTAATTTTTGCCTTATTAGACCGATCTCTTTGGAAAAGAATCTCACCCCTACATCAGTTTAAGAGGAGACTGTTGCATGGGAACATTTTGGACAGAAACCTTCCTCATTTTTCCTCCCCTCTCATCCTTTTTAATCTCCGTAGAAGGAACCAGAATGCTGTATAAGGACCAACTTGAACTCCTGACCTGCTTTGAACACAATGACAAATCAAACCGCACCGCCTTCTAATGAAAACCTGCAGGGAAAAGACGGATGCTCTGAGGGAATCAGACTGGATCTATGTATTGTGTTTTTTTGCAAAACAGAAGTTTAACATGGCTAAATCAGAACCGTAACACCTCAAATACTAAATTCCTTCATAAAATGGTTTAATAAAAATATTTTCTGCTTTAGACAGTAAAAAAAAAAAAAATGCTGCTTTTTTATTTGGAATGAAAGTTTAAGTTTTTCAATCTGTAAATAATCTGAGAAAAGTGGGGTGAACATCTGTAATAAATAATTACATGAGTAGAAATAAATTCTGATTAATAATTCAAAAACTAGGCTTGAGATTTTTGTTGGAATTTTGAGCATTTCTGGCATTTTTGGAGGGAAAAAAATGGATAATATTCCCAGAGGTGGCATTTGAACTCGGACCTAACTTTGGAGGAGCTGCTGATCCTTCTAATCTCAGGACCAAACGTCCATCCAGGCTGTCAGAAACTTTGCATGACTCTAGATCTGCAGCAGAGAGGAGAGGAGGGCTGGAAAAGCCTCACCTCTCCCACAACCTGCAGAGCGACCTGTAAGCTCACAGAGCATCGCTTCATCCTCACATCAGCTCAGCTTCTCATAATAAAGAAGCTGAGGGATAAACTCCAAGTCTGTCCCTTGCAGGCCCTCTTACATCCTAAATAAAGACTCTCCATGGAGTAAAGGTGTTCAGTTTTCATTCTAATTGCTGATCTCACCAGTGATCTACATCAGTGAGGCAGCTGGACATGACATTTTAATTAAAGACGAGTTTCTCCACCACCGGACTCGCTCTCGCGCACACACGCGCGGCTCGCGCTCACATGACGGATGACTTACGCTGCTGTTGTGTCCGGACCAGTGCACCATGGCCTGGTTGTGGGCCGAGTCGCCTGTCAGGGCGAACGTGGAGCTGTTGAGCTTTAAGTCCTCCTGCCGCGCACCTGCAGCTCTGCGCTCCTCTCTGCTCCAGCGCGGCACTCTGCGCTCCTCCGCCGCGCCCGCTCCCTCAGCCGGGGTTCTAGCACCGCCACTGTCCCTCTTGAAGCGCTGGGAAGTCAAACCAACTTTCCCCTGCCCAGGCTGTCCGCTCCAGCTGTCTGTAATCCGGCTCAGCTCCGCGCATCCGGCAGACCCAGGCTCGCAGAGGACCCTCCCGGTCCGGCCGCCGCTCCCCCAAACTTCCCCCTGAAACCCCGCAGCGGGGCCACTTGTTTCCACCCTCAGCAGTAATTCCTGTGGACGCCACTTATACCCATCCTGACATGACCTGCAGGTTATGTCCGCCTCGGCGACGAGAGCCAAGCAGGACAGGATGAAGAAAAGCCCGGAGCAGAGCGCACCGTGCCACTTTGGGCAGAAGCTGACCTCCCTCTCCATCGCTGGGGGCAGAAAGGATGCGGCTGATGCTGGAAGTCGTCGCTCTGCCTCACTGGGACGTGGTTCTTCGCTCAGATGCGGAGGAGAACTGCTGCAAGTTGTGGCGTTGGCCAAATGCGGTGGAGTAAAAAGTGAGGCTGAGCCTAAGTGGTCCAAGTTGAAGGGTTTGATGAAACGAAGCCCCGCGCGCGCAGAGGGAGGAGCTGAGGCATCCAGACTCAGAACAATGTTGCATCTGTCTGTCTCATATCTGTAATTTCCCACCATATGGCCGAGCTTAATTAAAATACACAGTCAAACGTTGATTTTTTTTTTTCTAGTTCACTATTTACATTTCAAATGCATTTTTAGGACAGTTGTTTTGGGTAATTGTTTTATTGTATTTGTTTTATTTCCCCTGTTGCAGCTTTTTAACCTTCCTCCAGAGGAAGTAGGTCTCTGAATTTGGCAAATTACATAAAATAGTTGAACGGTTTCCATGAATTAAGATCTGGAGACAGATAAGGAAATTAAAACCTTAAAGGAGAAGGATTATACCTGATAATGCAATATGTTCTATACTGTAGATCCATTACAAACTCAAAGAAAACATACTTTACAAGCCTCTATTGTTGATTATTCTGGTTTATGTCATATCAACACTTAAAATAATTTAATCACAACATCCATACTTTGAATAAGAATAAAAACAGATATATTTATAACTCAGATAATATCGACCCTTAACCAAATATTAGGGCTTATAGTTAACCAGCAGACTTTAATGACACTTTCCTAAAGGACACTGTTAAAACAGCTTCCCTTCACACAGTTTAAAATGTAACAAAGTCCACTTGAGTTTGGTTAGGTAAATGTGGCTCTAAGCTGGAATCAGGAGCAGGGGGGGATTTATCATTAGGCCATACTAGGCAGTTGCGTAGGGCCCAAAGTTCCTGGGGGCCCCATATAACTCTTTTTTAATCTGGTTAATACAAGTATTTCTTATTTGTGCACATTAATTATCATTTTGATAAAAACCTTTGGCTGACATGCCATCAGAATGTTTATAATATTAAGCGCGTCTCAGCCCCCCCTTCAGTGTCCACCATATTGGTCCAAACAGACAGCAGCAAACCATTTGAAAACAAACGATGCAAAAAGCAGTGTTGCCAACTTAGCACGTTTGTTGCTATATTTAGTAACTTTTCATTACTTTTCATTAATTACATAGTTTTATTTCTAAAAAGCGCCTAGTGTCAAATCTAGCAATTTTTTTCTGCTACTGGAGACTTTGGTGACAACATCTAAAAGTAGAGAACTCTGCTCTCCAGAGCCAGTAGATTGGTAACCCCGCCTCCTGCTCTCCTCTATCTTGTCTGCTGTCATGATTCATGCAGCTATTATTTCATCCAAATGAAAAATGGAGAACAGATCAGCAGATCATGGCTTGTCTACAGTGAAAAGAAGAACTGGGTTATTTACTTTTGCCGTCGTCTTTTTGGAAACACAGGAAGGAGCAATCAGCTAAGTGAGCTTAGTGCTTGGAAAATATTCCTTTTGAGACAGCATGAAAAGTCTGCTGAGTACAAAACATAGAGAGGAAAACAACAAGAAAAGGGACAAGAAGAGAGGGACAAAACCTAGAAAAAAAACTAGAATTCTATTAACATTTCTATATATGTATAATGTATAATGTGCCTGTTTTTGCCCAGGGCCCCAAATTGCCTAAATCTTCCCTTGATCAGGAGCTACCTAACAGGCATAGGAACATAAGAAGCAACTCACAATTTATGTGTTATACAATGTTGCAGTCAAGACCAGCTGATACAGAAAAAGGAGCAGAGCTCACTGAGATACAGACAAGATGTTAGGTTTATTCAATGACGATTATAAAATTAATGTATGTATGCTTATGAAACATTTGAGCAAGGGGATGCTCCACTGTGTCTTGTGATTCAGTCAGGACACCATCCTGCATTGTGATTCTGATGGAGCATCCTGTCTTTATGAACTGATCAATTGTTCTGTCAGAACAATACTCTGTTTGTAACCATGTGTCACGTTCTGTTAATAAAACGCTCTGCAGAGGAGGTCCGGCGGGAGACAGAGTGTTTGAGTCTTGGGTGCAACTGTCTCTCCTCCTGCAGGAGCTGTATGAAAATCCCTTACTGTGTATTTCAGTTCTTCTTTTACAAACCTACATTTTTGAACCCAACACAAGACCAAGACTTTTAAGGTCCAAGAACACATTTAGACAAAGACTGGAGGACTGCGAGATCGAGTCAGAACCAAGACCTCTCAGGATTCTAGTTATGTGGGTTGTTTTTGTGTTTATCTCTCTCCACCACCAGGTGGTGCCCTGTCCTCGTTGGGCCTCCATGCACACCTGCGGCTCGTTGGGTAATTACCGGAGGAGTACTTGAGCAGCAGGCTGTCACTACCTCTACGCCAGAGTGTTTGCCAGTTTTGGGTACTCTAGCCAAGCAGAGATTAGCAGTGTCCAAACCTTAGCATTGTTTCTCTGAGTCTTATCTTGTTTTTTTGTCATTGCTCTTCTGCAGGAAGTCTTCCTGTGTAACTGGATAGCCTGGACCTTCCCCCCTTGGAAGGATTTACTGATTTCACACTGAGCAAGCGAAAATCTCTACACAATCCGCTTAAGTCCTCATCTGGAAACCAAGTGACAGTCCGCTCCTTTACTCCTCTGGTCCAACGTATGTCTGCCTGTTCGCTCTCCAATGAGTTCCCTCTTCTCTGGATTAAACCCCCACAAACTGGATTCAAGGATTAACAAAGAGCCCCCCAAAAGTGAGTTTCTCTCCAGGATATTCAAGCCTCAGTCATTTTCCCTACAGTCCCTGAACTGCTCACTGTGAACTCCCCTTCAGACTTTTCGGTTCTGGTTCACCAGTCCACTGAGTTCCAGCTTCCTCTTCAGTGTTTTTCTACATTCAATAAACCTGTTAAACTTTTACCCTTGATCTCTGAGTGGTTCTCTGCATGTGGGTCAGATTCGTAAAACCAGTTATGACAAAACCAGTGCCTCCTTTATGGAGCCAATATCCCATCCAACAACACGCTTTGTAAACAGATAAAATTTCAATCCTGCAATGAAATTTAAAATTTCTAAATTCAAAGAAAAGATTTTGAGTCATTTTTCTGTTTTTTATTTTATTTTTTATTTTATTGTTTCTCATATTTTTATACAATTTTTAAACACATTCTACATTTTCTAATTGTATTTTTTTCAAAATTCACTCTTTCGGATTGAGTCATAAAAATTGATTGCTCGTTTTGGATCCAATAAAATGTTGCAAATGTCCAGCAGACCAATAGAAATGTATCTTTGCTCCTCTCCGTAGTAGGGAGCCCGCCCACAGAAGTAAAAACTATGTGATCTTTTAAATTCAATTTCAAATAATGCAAATTATAAAACTACATCTGAAAAAGGAAAAAACTTTGAACAATTTGAATAAAGAAATATAGATTTTATACATAATAAGTAGAAACTATTTCATGAAAATATTAAAAGAAATAGTAAAAAATAAAATACAATTAACAGTGAAGTTAAGTTTTTTTTTCTAAATTGTGTTTTTTTTTTCAAATGATTTACAAAAAGTGTCCTTTAAAAGCAACAATAATAAAACAAATGTCTTTCCACAACCACACTTAATTTCTTAAAATGTTATATAAAATCAAGACAACTTCTCTAATTAATTTGAAAGCTTCACATTTTCAAAAAAACTAGGCATTAAAGACACAGAGGTGAAATAAATGTCACTTTCTCTATTTAATAATTATTACTAAAACCTTCAGTCCCTCTTTTTAAATATAAATTTGATTAATTCCAGCAAAAAATAATATTTTCTTTAATTCCTTTTTCCTTTCTTTGCTAAGGCTCATAATGAAAGTCAACTGTTGATGAATTTAAAAACCTAACTCATTCTGATGATGTTTCTTGTATCAAGAAAGACTTTAATTTGCCAGGCAGAGAGATAAAAAAAATCGTAATATCTTCAGCACATGGCCATAAAATATAAATATGTAATCAAACATTAATAATTTAAATATGAAATGAGTTTACTAATCATTCATTCGGGAGAACGATCATTTGAATGCTTGCATCTCAAGTCAAATTAAAAGTTTAACCAATTAAATGTTCAGAATTTTTAATTGGGCCACAGATTGAATTGAATTTGTGTCACTTTTGACCTTCCTTATAGGCTGTGGTCCAATTGTTGCTTTTGAGCCTTTTGACAGTTTTAGCTTTCATTTCAAAATGTCATGTTCAGAACTTTCTTGAGTGCTCTTTACTCTCTTCACCCACGATTGAACTCACGTGGGAGCTGTCCACCGACCACCAAAAAGATTTCCAAAGGTTTAAACATCCCAAGGAGCTCTGTGCAAGTGATGATATTGAAATGAAAAGAGTATCAGGCCACTGGGAATCTATGAAGACCCGGCCTCTAAACTCTCAGCTGAAACATGGAAGACTGATCAGAGATGCAGCCAAGAGGTCCACTCTGGATGAACTGCAGAGATCTACAACGGAGGTGACACACTCTGTCCATAGGACAACAATGAGTCATATACTGCAAATATCTGGCCTTTATGGAAGAAAGCCATTTCTGAAAGATATCAATACAAAGTCTTTTTTTAAAGTTCGCCACAATTTTGAAGAAGATGCTCTGGTTAGATGACTTCAAAAACGGTTGGGCAACAATGCAAAATGTTATGTTTGTCATAAAAGCAGTACAGCTCATCGCCCTGAACACAATATCCCCACGGTCAAACATGGTGGTGGAAGCATCATGGTCTGGGCCTGCTTTTCTTCAGCTCCTTTTCCTAAAATGCTTAAAATAGAATGTAAGATGGATGGAGCCAAATACAGGATCCATCCACCACTCTTCTCACCTTCTTCAGGTCTGAGGCGCTGCAGCCTCCACACCACACAGTGAGACAGCTGGTCAGAATGCTCTCTATGGTGCTTCTGTAGAAGGTGGTGAGGAATTAGTGGGGGCAGGTGGGCTCTCCTCATCCTCCACAGGAAGTACATGTGCTTCTGTACCCTTTTGATCAGTGAGGTGGTGTTTACATTCCAGGTGAGGGTGTCTGTGATGTGCACCCCCAGGAATTTGGTGCTGTTGACCACCTCTACAGCTG